TCTGGCCCCTGGAGAGCACAGTATCAGAGCCTTTCTGAGGTAAGATTAAGAGCTCTACTCAAACACAATTTTTTCCTGTTCCCACATTCTGTACATCACAATGACTTGTTAATAAAACAACAAAGACTTTCAGCTGTAAAAATGCGTGCTACAGGGCATTTGTGTTAACATGCACCACTGCACATTAGCATCAATGCAAACATGATGGAAACCTGTGTACCCTGCATTAACCCTAGATGCGCTGCATTGCAGTACTGCACCACACTGCAAAGGCAGCACGGCTAGTGTGAACGAACCCTAATTCAGTGGGTTGAACAAAAAGATTGTATAGAAATGTGATGAACTAAAGATTTTATTACAAAATCGCTTAATTTCAGGGTTTCAGAAGTAATTGGACAAATGAAAAACTGAAAATCAAATGTTCATATCTAATACTTGGATGAAACCCTTTCCTGGTAATGACAGCCTGAAGTCTTGTACTTATGGACATCACCAGATGCTGGGTTTTCTCCTTTGTAATGCTCTGCTAGGCTGTCACAGTAGGGGTATATATATAAATATCCTGCCATTTCCAGCTTTTAATAAGAAAAACTGTTGCAATGGGCATTTAAAAGTGGCACTTGGTTGTTTTTATAGAGTCCAGTGGATGCAATCTGACATTGATAATGGGCTCTTTCACACTATGTGCACTGCGGCTGTTTTTTGCCAGTAACGGAAGTGCTAGTGGTAACTACTGGTTACCCATGTTTTGCACTGCCCTAGCACCTCCCATACAAGTGTGTCTGGAAGACACAGCAATGTGCAGCTGTGTGTGTTACCATAAACAAAGGGCCTGTGTGAAAGATACACAGGTTTCCTATGGAGGAAAGGGGTTGTTCTCTATGGTCAGGGTGTGCCTCTGTCCCATGTCTGAACTTTTTCAGATGATTTTGTTATATATATATATTTTTAGAAGACCAAAAATGTTATAGTAGAGCAAATTTAATCACTTGTTTTTATACTTTACTGTCTTATTTTAGTAAAGAATTTAATAGGAGAACGGTACTGTTGGTTTTAGCCCAATATTAAACATGAGTGGACCAAAGAAAAGGAAAGTGGACAGTGAATGCCAAGTGTTTAAGAGGGAGCGGACAACAAAATATTTTTTCACCGAAGTCCGATCATGGACTGATGTCTGATATGCCAGGAAACACTTGCAGTCTTCAGAGTACTATCTCAGCTGTCACTTTGCCACCAAGCATGGCAACTATGCTAGCAAGCAGTCACCTCAAGAACGGGAGGCTACTGCACAGAGGTTGATGGCTAAATTACAGGCTCAGCAAAATGTCATTCACAGACAAACTGCAATTCAAGAGACAACTACCAAAGCAAGTTTTATGCTATCATTCAAATCAGCAAAAGCTAGCAAACCTCTCTCTGAAGGCGAGTTTTTGAAAGAATGTATGATACAGACAGCAGGTCTCTTGTGTCCAGACAGCAAAGGCAAGTTTAAAAAACTCAGCTTATCGCGCAGGACAGTGACTCGTCGAGTGGAACTGATTGATGAAGACTTGGCCAGCAAGTTAATAGTAAGGCAGAGTTCAAGTTTTATTCACTAGCATTGGATGAAAGTAATGACGTAAAGGACACTGCTCAGCTCTTAATTTTTATCCGAGGGATTAGTGACAATTTTGAAATTACGGAGGAGTTTTTAGCCATGGAGCCACTGAAAGGCAAAACA